TCCCAAAAGCACCTGCAGATCAACCAGACCTTCGAGGAGCTGCGGCTCATCACGCAGGACTCGGAGAACGAGCTCAAGAAGCTGCAGCAGACACAGGAGTACTTCATCATCCAGTACCAGGAGAACATGCGCCTCCAAGGTGGGTGATGGAGGGGTGATGGCAGGGGGGGGGGGAATGATGGGGCCGGGGTGCTGGTGGCACCATCCCTAACGCCGTGCCCTGTCCCCCAGCCCAGTTCTCCCAGCTTTCCCAGCTGGGTCCCCAGGAGCGCCTGTCACGGGAGACAACGCTGCAGCAGAAGAAGGCATCGCTGGAGGCCTGGCTGCACCGGGAGGCACAAACACTACAGCAGTACCGCGTGGTGAGTGCCACCATCCCTGCACGGCGCTGCCCCTGCCGCCGTCCCCACGGCCCCTGACACCCTCCTGCCCCGCAGGAACTGGCTGAGAAGCACCAGAAGACGCTGCAGCTGCTGCGCAAGCAGCAAATGACCATCCTGGACGATGAGCTCATCCAGTGGAAGCGTCGGCAGCAGCTGGCAGGGAACGGGGGGCCCCCCGAGGGCACCCTGGACGTGCTGCAGAGCTGGTGGGTGCCGGCACGGGATGCGGCGCGGTGCTGAGCCCCGGCGTGGTGCTGAGCCCCGCTGTCCTCAGGTGCGAGAAGCTGGCAGAGATCATCTGGCAGAACCGGCAGCAGATTCGCCGCGCTGAGCACTTGTGCCAGCAGCTGCCGATCCCGGGCCCGGTGGAGGAGATGCTGTCCGAGCTGAACGGCACCATCACCGACATCATCTCCGCACTGGTGACCAGGTACCTGGGGGACTGGGGGGGGCTGGTTTGGGTCCGCTCTGCCAGCACCCCCATCCCCTTATCCTCCTTATTCCCCCTTCTCCCTCTCTGCTCCCAGCACCTTCATCATCGAGAAGCAGCCCCCCCAGGTGCTGAAGACACAGACCAAGTTCGCGGCCACTGTGCGGCTCCTGGTGGGGGGAAAGCTGAACGTGCACATGAACCCCCCCCAGGTGAAGGCCACCATCATCAGTGAGCAGCAAGCCAAGGCCCTGCTGAAGAACGAGAGCACCCACAAGTAATGCCGGGGGCAAGGGATGTGTGTGTGTGGGGGGGAGACAAGGATGCAGGCAGCGAGAAGCTGGGGGCACAAGGGGGGCTGCACCCTGGTGATGCCCCTTATCCCGTGTGTTCCTGTGCCAGTGAGAGCAGCGGGGAGATCCTCAACAACTGCTGCGTGATGGAGTATCACCAGGCCACGGGGACGCTCAGCGCCCACTTCCGCAACATGGTGAGCGCCGCTGGTCCCCCCCTCCTGTCCCCTTGTGTCCCCATCTGTGCTGTACCCCCCGCTGTGCTCACCCCGGTGTCCCTCCACGTCCCCGTTCATCCCCTGTGCTCACCCCTTGTGTCCCTGCAGTCCCTGAAGCGGATCAAGCGCTCGGATCGCCGCGGGGCTGAGTCGGTGACGGAGGAGAAGTTCACCATCCTCTTCGAGTCCCAGTTCAGCGTTGGTGGCAACGAGCTGGTGTTCCAGGTGAAGGTAAAGCCACCGGGCAGGTCCCCTCTGCTGGGCGATGCTCTTGCAGTGCCCCACAGCCCATCCTGGTCTCCTTGCTCCCGGCAGACGCTGTCCCTGCCCGTGGTGGTCATCGTGCACGGGAGCCAGGACAACAACGCCACAGCCACCGTGCTCTGGGACAATGCCTTTGCTGAGCCCGTGAGTGCCATGGGGGGGACAGGACAGGCCCCATCCATGCTAGGGGGGGCTGCAGGGCCTGGGCTCAGTGTCCCACTGGAGGCAGAGCTCGGCGCTGACCCTGCTCTGTGTCCCCAGGGCCGCGTGCCCTTTGCCGTGCCCGACAAGGTGCAGTGGCCGCAGCTGTGCGAGGCGCTCAACATGAAGTTCAAGGCGGAGGTGCAGAGCAGCCGCGGGCTCACCAAGGAGAACTTGGTGTTCCTGGCGCAGAAGCTCTTCAACAGCAGCAGCTCCCACCTGGAGGACTACAGCAGCACCACGGTGTCCTGGTCCCAGTTCAACCGGGTGAGCAGCCTGGGCTCTGCGCCGGGTGAGCTTGCACGGAGGGGCACAGGGGTGCTGGAGCCGTTTCTTGCATCTGGAGTGATGCAAAAATGAGATGGGAAGGCGTCACCTTCCTCTTTGGGTGCTGTAGGTCCTGCATAGGGGCTCTGCCTCCTTGGAGAGGCGTTGCCGGTGCTCCCCAGGGCTGCTTTGGTGTCCCTGAGTCTCCACCGCTTGTGTTACTGAACAGCAGCCGGGAGGCTGAAGGACTTGCTCATTCTGTGGGAATCTCCACAGGAAAACCTGCCCGGGAGGAATTACACCTTCTGGCAGTGGTTTGACGGGGTCATGGAAGTGCTGAAGAAGCACCTGAAGCCGCACTGGAATGACGGGTAAGAGCTGCCCTGCGCCATGGTGCCCGGCGCCGAGTCCCGGCCCTGACGCCCTTCGCTCTGCCTAGGGCCATCCTGGGCTTCGTCAACAAGCAGCAGGCGCACGATCTGCTCATCAACAAGCCCGACGGGACCTTCCTGCTGCGGTTCAGCGACTCCGAGATCGGCGGCATCACCATCGCCTGGAAGTTCGACTCCTGTGAGTGCGCGCCGGGCGCCGGCCCCAATGGACCCAGCCTGGCCCTCAGCTGGGGCTTGGGGCTGCTGCTCCAGCACCTCCCGTCTCGGCTGCCAGGGGAGGGAGATGCCGTCCCATGGTCAGCGTGGTCTCGCAGCCTGTCCCCGCCGGCTCTGGGCGTCACCACGGTCCTCGCTCTTGTCTTCCAGCTGAGAGGATGTTCTGGAACCTGATGCCTTTCACCACCAGGGACTTCTCCATCCGCTCCCTGGCCGACCGCCTCGGAGACCTCAGTTACCTCATCTACGTGTTCCCCGACCGGCCCAAGGACGAGGTGTTCTCCAAGTACTACACGCCGGTTCTCTGTGAGTCCACGCCAGGTAGCGCTGCCCCTTTCCTCCACGTGTGTCCCTCTCCTCCGTGCATCCGCCTGGGCTGAGCCGGGGCTCACAGCATCACTCTGCCCCGGTGCTGCATCCGGCCCCGCAGGGGCTCTGTAGCGTGAGCCCCCAGCCCCACTGCAGGCTGGTGGCACTCACCGGCACCTCGGGGCCTGAGTGCTGCCTCCTTTCCTCCAGCTAAAGCCGTGGATGGATACGTGAAGCCACAGATCAAGCAAGTGGTGCCAGAGTAAGTCTGACCTGAAGGCTGGTCCCATGGGATCTAGCTTGGGGGGGGGCATCCCAGGGCACCTCTGCTGTTAGGCCACGTTGGTGCTGAGCTGGCAACAGGGGAGAGGCACATGGCTGCAGCAGGGCTGTGTGTTCAATGGCAAGGCAGATGTCCCCCCTCACCATGCTGTCGTCTGGGGACCCTGCATCTTGAAACTGTTTGTGGGTGTGGGGTTTGGGTCCCCTCCCTGCTGGTTGGAGATGATGGGAATCCCCCCAGAGGGAGCCTGTCCTTGTATCCGTGCTCATGAGCCTCCATCCCTGCAGGTTTGTCAACCCATCAGGTGATTCAACCCCTGGAGGGGCCACCTACATGGACCAGGCTCCCTCGCCCGCCGTCTGCTCCCAGCCCCATTACAACATGTACGCCCAGAAGTAGGTATCACGTCCCCTGTCCCCGTCGCGCCTCAACCGGTCCCCTCCTCACCCCCTGCCTCCCGCAGCCCTGATGCTGTCCTGGAACCTGAAGGTGACTTCGACCTGGAGGACACCATGGACGTGGCGAGGCACGTGGAGGAGCTGCTGCGGCGCCCCATGGACAGTCAGTGGATCCCGCACGCCCAGTCGTGACGGGCGGGTGCCCGGCGCTTCGGGGACTGTGCTGTGTTCGTGTCTCTGTGCCGGGGGGGCGGCGGGTGGGCCCTGCCCCGCAGATTTGCTCTGTGCTGCCCCGAAATGCAGGCTGACGTCCGGCTCTTTGGTGTTTAAGCCCTTGTATAAACGGCAGCGGATTTGTCGCATGGTTTTTCCTGTATGTTCCTTTTTAAGAGGCCCAGCTTCGGCTTTCCGCTTCTGCAGGCACCGGCCCCACGGCCCCCCCTGCTCCCCACCGAGGGGCTGCGAGGGGAGGGGGCTGCAGAATGGCCTCAGGTTTGCTTTCGCAGTCGTCACTAAGAATGTACGTGTCGCCTTCTTGTTCTACCCCGTGGCTCCGCTCACAGGGGGTTCCGTGGGTGCACAGGGCTCCGGCACGGGGCAGGGGGGCGATGGCTGGGGGTCCCCCCTGGCCCGTGCTGGTGCTCTGCTCCACAGCGGTGGGGTCCCCTCCTGGACCTTGTCTTATCCTTTGGTCCCCCCAAGGATGGGGGAGCCCCTTTGGCTCCCAGCTCAGCGTCGCCCTGTGGAGCCGGTGCAGGGCGCGAGGGCACCCAGCGAGAGCGGCCGGGTGCTTTTGGGGAGGGGGAGCGGAATCCTCTGTCCCCCCCCATCCCCTCACCTGACCGAGAAGCTCTGGGGTCCTGCCCATGTTATTTTTCTACCACAGAGTAAAATAAAGCACGGAATATTTTTGTAACACACAAGCTCTGGCTTTCACGCGTGTCTTGGGGAGGCGGCAGGGCCCTGCCATGGGGGGGGGACGGACGCAGGAGCCCCTCGGCTGCATGCCCGGGGTGCAGGGGGTCCCTGAGTTGGGTACTGTGCAGTACCAGCCCTGCAGCCGGGCAGGTCCTGGGAGGGCTGTGGTTGGGGACCGCGTTTCTGGGGAGAAAACAAACCAAAACAGGCAAATTGCACTATTTTTGTGCCGGGGGGTGGGGGGGATGCGCTCGGTTTTTACTCGCGATTTAACCGCCGGGGCGGGCGGGGCCGCTCCGGGTGTTTTGCAGAAGGGAGAAAACGAAAATAAAAGCGGGCGGAGCTGGCGGTCGCCCTCATTCGCCGTCATTTCTGCCGGAGGCGGAATAGCCCCGGGGGCTGTCCCGGTGCACGGGTCCCTGCTGGGGATGCTGCCGGCGGTGGCGGTGGCCGCGGTGGCGGTCACGGTCGTTGTCGTGCTCGTGGCCGCCGTCCCCTCGCTGCGGCACCGCTTGTCCCGCTCCGCGCTGCGCAGCGCCGGGGCCCGGTACCGGCGGCGCTTGGAGCTGCTGGGCACCGACGTGCGGCTCAGCCAGGAGCGGCGGCTGCGGCGGCTGCTGCCCCCCGGCGCGGTCCGCGGTGAGGGGCGGGCGTCGGAGCGGGAGGCGGTTGCTTGGGAGGGGGGGGGAGCCCCAGGGGTCCCCGTTCACCCCGCGCTCTCCCGGCAGGGTCGGAGGATTTCCGGGAGCGTCACCCCGTGGGGCAGCGCTGCGCTGACGGGGCACCGGGGGGGCAGGTCCCGCCGCTGCACCCCTGGGCGCTGCTGCGCTGCTGCTGGGGCACCGACCCCCTGCTGCAGGTACGGGGTGATGGGGCAGGGACGGGAGCAGAGGGGCCTCCATGGGGCCTGAACCCCTCAGGTCCATCCCGCTTGACCCCGCTTCTCCCTTCGTAGGGGTCCCTGCTCTTCCTGGACACCCTCCATGCCGCCTTCCCGCGGGCGCTGGTCCCCCGGGGCACGGCGCTGCTCTCCTGGGCCCCCCATCACCGCTGTGCTCCCGCTGGCTGGTCCCTGCCCTCGCTGTACTGCACCCCGGCCGAGGCCGGCTCCGTGCCCTCGCGGGCTGCAGCGCTGCGGGTGCAGCTGCTGTTCGCGCTGCAGCAGCGAGCGCTGCGGGTGCTGGAGGCCGCGCTGCCCGCGGAGCTGCTGGACGCGCTGGAGGCTCTGCGCTCCGCCTGGCCCGAGCTGGCGCAGGACCTGGCGCTGGGCACCCTGCGGCCACAGCCCGGGCTGCCCGAGGGGCTGCGGGTGCAGCTGCAGGCGCTGCTGACCCCCAACGCTGCCCGGGCGGCCGAGCTGCGCTCTGAGTGCGCCCGCGGCTTTGAGGGCATCGTGCGGCGCCTGTGGCCGCAGCTGGAGGTGGTGGTGGTGGGGACGGCGCAAGGCACGGAGCAGCTCTACTGCGATGCCCTCCGGCAGGCCGAGTGCAAGGGGCTGCCCTTCTACTGCCCCTTCTACCGCGCAGCGGGAGGTGAGCGTCCCCACAGCCTGCCCCGGGAACCGCTGCCCCAGGGATGTGGGTGCATCTCTGTGCCGCGTCCCTCCGTGGCATCGGATGAGATGTTCCCCCTTGGAGGCGGTGAGCCCGCATGGGCAGGGTCAGGGGGATTCTCTCGCTGACGCGTGCCCCTCTGCCCAGCGCTGCTGGGTGTGAACCTGTGGCCGGAGGAGCCAGCGCCACGGTTCCTGCTGTGCCCTGAGTGGGCTTTCTGCGAGTTCCTGCCCTGCCAGGCCGAGGAGGAGCCGCAGACGGTGCTGCTGGGCGAGCTCTGGGAGGGACGCGAGTACGGGCTGGTCCTGACAGCCCGGCCTGGAGAGTACAGGTGCCCCCTCGGTGCTGTGGGACTCTGGGGTTGGGGGGGGGGGGGGGCTGAGCACCCCAGCCCCATGCACTGGGCACTGCCTCCCTCATGCTCCTGCTCCCCACACAGGTGCCGTGCTGGGGAGGTGCTGAGGGTGACCGGCTTCCACAAGCAGTGTCCCGTGGTGGAGCCCGTGCGCAGGTGAGGACACCCCAAACCCCTCACCCTGGGGGGTTGTGGGGGGGGCCTTGTGGCAAGGCAGGGGCAGATGGACAGTGCCTGTGTTGCCCTTGGCCTGGAGCACCCACCCCATCCCCTGCGCTGCAGGGAGAGCCAGGCACTGAGCGTGCGGGGTGAGAGCATCCCCGAGGAGCGGTTCTGCCGGAGCCTGTGCCGTGCCGTGGGCATGTGGCCGGGCGCTCGCCTGGTCGACTACGTCTGCGTGGAGAGCGCTCTGCTGGGTGAGTGTCCCCAAAACTGCGGCTGCTGCTGGCCGGGTCTCTGCCAGCCCCCCTGCACCAGGGCTGGGGGCTGCAGATGGCTTTAACGTGCTCGTCGTGATGCTGCAGGTGCCTCTTCAGGGGCCTGTGCCCCCCACTATGAGGTGTTCGTGGAGCTGCGGGGCCTGCGGGACCTGTCGGAGGCACAGCGCTACAAGGTGAGGAGATGATCAGGGAGCTATGAGGATGATCAGGGACTGGAGCACCTCCTGTATGAAGACAGGCTGAGAAAGTTGGGGCTGTTCAGCCTGGAGAAGAGAAGGCTGCGTGGAGACCTCATAGCAGCCTTCCAGTATCTGAAGAGGGCCTATAGGGATGCTGGGGAGGGACTCTTCATTAGGGACTGTAGTGACGGGACAAGGGGTAATGGGTTAAAACTGAAATAGAGGAAGTTTAGATTGGATCTAAGGAGGAAATTCTTTCCTGTGAGGGTACTGAGGCACTGGAATGGGTTGCCCAGGGAGGTTGTGAATGCTCCATCCCTGGCAGTGTTTGAGGCCAGGCTGGATGAAGCCTTGGGTGCCATGGTTTAGTGTGAGGTGTCCCTGCCCATGGCAGGGGGTTGGAACTGCATGATCTTAATGTCCTTTCCAACCCAAACTATTCTATGATTCTGTGATGTGGGCTCTGCTCCAGGGCAGGCCCTGCTGCCTGCACCCTGCCAGCCCACAGTGAGGGGTGATGCTGCCCCACTGGGACAGCGCAGCGCGGGCAGCCTCTCCTCTTCCTGCAGCTGGACCAGTGTCTCCAGGAGGATTTCCCCATCTATAAATCCTTCCGCTTCAAGGGCAGCATCGGGCCCCTGCGCCTGCACATGGTGGGCGCCGGTGCCTTTGCCCGGCTGCGGGAGGCACTGGGCAAGCCCGTCCCCATGCCCAGGGTCCTGCGGGAGGAGCGGCTGCTGCAGCACATCCAGAGCTCCATCATCTCCTAGGGCAGCCCGGGGGTCCCGCAGCCCTCCCGCACCTGGGGTTCACCGTGCGTGCACCCTGCAGGGAGGAGCGGTGCTGAGGGTGCCCAGCCCCAGGGGGTTTGGTTGAGCAGAGCAGATGGAGCCAACGAATGTGACCGTGCCCCTGCTCTGCGCTGGCGGGCACCCAGGTCAGTGCTGCCCGCAGGGATGGAGCAGGATGTGCAGCACGGCTCAGCCCAGCCCCAGGCACTCACCAGCAGAGCTGACCCTTCGCTGGGCTGCGTTGAGCACAGGCTGGGGCCGCGGGTGCTTGTGAGCATCACAGGGCACTTGGGTCCTGCTGCCAGCGGCCACTGCTTACCCTGCTCTGCTCAGTGCCTTGGCAGCACCCGCACTTGCCTGTGCCTTTCCTGAGGGACACCGGGACTGTCATAGCCCGAAGGAGGACAGTGGAAACCTCCGTGGGAGCAGCAGAGCCTCGGGCCAGCACAGCGCCATCTCTGTGCTGAGCTCCTGGCCCTGTGGCATTCTGTCCCCTGGCAGGGACACTGTGGGGCGGTGGCAGGTCCTGGCTGCGTGGATCAGCCCCTCCACCCGCCTCCAGTGCACGTCTGCTGGTTTGGGGAAGAATAAGCTCCAGCAAGGGCTGGTTTTAATGGTTAAAAAATCAAAAGCAAAGTGCAGGAGGGTTATCTCTGGGAAACAAATGAAGGGCAGCGCTCTGGGGTTGGATTTTTCATACTATGCTCTTTAATCCTCATTAAAGAGGTTGCTTGACAACAGCCCTGACTCTGCTCTGGTGGCTGAGGAGTTGCTGTTGTTTCCTCGGGGGTCCTGGGGAAGGGGCAGCCATGAATATTTAACCAGTTCAGTGGCCGCCTGGGGCTGTTCGTGGCACTGGTCGGGTCCCCTCCTGCTCTCAGGGTTGATGTGCTCGGAGCCTGCTGTGCAGGCAGCTGCTGCCGGAGGCGGGGAAGGCAGGGCACTGGCAGAAGACAAAGTGTTGAATAAGGGCCACACAAAGCATCCCCCAGGTGCAGCCAGAACCTCTAACAGGGATGGAAACGGGGCTCAGCCCCCTCCTGCCATCCCTGCTGGAGAGCCTGGAACAAAGCTCCTGCTCAGATTAGGGCAGAAGCAGTGCCTGTGGCTGCGGGGATGCCTCGGAGGGGATTGTTGCCAGGGCCATGGGAACACTGGTGCTGGGCTTTTGGCATCGGGTGTGCCTGGCACCGGCAGGGAACAGGCTGGGATTTAACGGGGAGCGGGTGGGTGGTGGCTGGATGGAGGTGGGGGGCCAAGCCTGGCAAGGAGGGGCAATGGGAGGGGGTTTCTTGGACAGCCCTGAGCCAGCAGGGACCTGTGAGGCAGCATCCAACCCAGAGAGCCCAACGGTGCTGGTCCTGCTGCCTGTGCCACGCTCCCCACGCAGCTGCTGGCATCCAGGGTCAGCATAAACCACTCTGGAGGCCCCACAGGGACCCGGCCCCTGGGAAAAGCCTCGACCCCCTGCCCGGGAGGGCTGCGCTGGGCCGGGGATCCACCCGGTGCCCGAGGCGCTGACCCCGCTGGAGGCTGCAGGGGGGGTTTGGGTGCTGGGCTGCAGGGTGCAAGGTCGATGTGAGTGCCGGGCTGCAGCGTGCAGCGTGTTTCGGGTGCCGGCTGCAGGTACCAAGGCTGCGGGGTGCGGTTCCCTGTGGGTGCCCGGCTGCCGAGTGCGGGCTTGGCCGCGGTCCCACCGGGATGGGGCAGCCGCCAGGCCCGGAAGCTGCGGTACTGGGCGGAGGCCGGTGGTGGTGGGGGGGATGCTCGGTACCCAGTGCCCCATCCCCGTTCCCAGCCGCTGCATCCCGGGGTTTCGGGGGCGGGAGGGGGGGGGGGGGGGCGCCGTCCCCGTCCGCGTCCCCGCCCCCGGCCCGTCCCCTCCTCCCGGCCGCGCCGCCTCCCGCCCGCTCCGCCACTGAGCCCCGCAGCGGCGGCGGCGGCGGGCGCAGGCTCCGGGGGCGCCCGGGGCCCCGCGGCGGCCGCTGCCCTGAGGCCGCGGGGGATGGCGGAGGGGCCCCGGGGCCCCCCGCCGCCGGGCTCGCCGCGCCCAGCCCCGCCGCTGCCCAACGGGCCCCGCGGCGGCGGCGGCGGCGGCGGCAGCCCCGGGTCGGGCTCGGGCAGCAGCAGCCGCGAGGACTCGGCGGAACGGAGCCCCGCGCCCGCCGCGCCCCGGGCCAGCATCATGAAGGTGAGAGCCCCGCGCCGGCCCCTCCCGCCCATCCCCGCACCGGGATCCAGCGCCCCCCGGGCACCGGCGCCGCCGGCACCTGCGCAGCGCTCGGGGCACCGAGCCGTGCCCCCCGGGGCGCCGCGGGCACCGGCCCTGCCTGCCCACGGCGCTGCCCGTGCCCGCCGACCCCCCCCCCTTCCGCCCCCGGTTTGTGGAGCTGCAGCCCCGGATCGGTGCCCGGGGGTTGCCCCCGCCCGCGGCACCGGGCTCACCGGCGCTGTTCGTGCCAGCGCTGCCTCAAGTCCTCTTGCCCTTCCTGGCACCCGGGTCCCCAAGGGCAAAGCCTGGCTTGGGCTTTGCGTGCTGCGGGACCAGGCCTGTCTCTGCGTGGCCGTGGGGCATCCTGTCCAGCCGCTGCTGAGCCCATGGGTTCCCGAATAGCCATGCTGCTCCTGCTGCACCGCAGCATCACCCTGTCCCGCTCAGGGCACCCATGGGTGCTGGTGAGGAGATGCCTGAGCCTGACTCCTGAGCACCTTCTGCTTTCCCATCCTTGCTCTTGCCAAGGTGCTGAGCCCTGGGCCCAGCCTGGCCAGCACCCGACCTGCTCTCGACACCTCTCCAGAGCCGTACTGTGGCTGGGCAGGGGTTCTGGGCCCCGCAGGGTCTCTGGGGGTCTGGTGGGCAGGGGGCCACATGCGTGTTTTCCTCAATGAACCCCTCTAATTGTGCTTCTGCCGGCGGTGCTCGCCGACACAATAGGTCTTGTCCGCCCGAGACCCGCCTCCCCACTCCTGGCAGCCTATTTAAAGCTGGGATTGCTCCGGTGCTATTAATACCCGGTGTGGGGGCTGTTCCTGTGGGGCCGGCACAGCCCCGCTCTTCTGCCCCCATGGACCAGGTTCTTTGAGCAGAGCCGTTGGTCCCTCCTCAGGGCACCCGGTGGGACCCCGTGTCCCAGCCGGGCTGTGCCCCACGCGGTGACACTCGAGAGACCTCCTGGTGCTTCCATGCAGCCAGAGGCCCTTGCCGGTGTGGGTCTGTGCCCGGTTTCCTTGGGGACCTGGCCAGGGTCTCCCTCTTCTCCCAGGGATCAGCCGTGGGTGCTGCAGGCTGGGGTTGATGCTCTCGCTTGCTCCCGGGCTGGGCACATCCCCGTCACCGCCGTGCGTCACCGCGGGATTTGGCCTCACGTGAAGGTCGGGTGGCCCAGGGCCAGCGCTGCTGCGGGAGGTCAAACCCGGACGGCGTTCCCAGCATCTGCTCATCCGTCAGGCATCAACAAAGCCCATCCGGGGACTCATCCTGCCCTGGTGCTGGAGGGTCCACGCCGAGCTCCTCCGGCCCCCACCTGTTTGGAGGCAGGGGTTCTGCTGCTTCCCCAGAGCAGCAGGAGCAGGGGTCCTCTGCCAGCCCCTCCATCACCAATGGGCTGAGACCCCCCGGTGTGGAAGGGAGCAGCTCGCACCAGCCCTGCACAGCACCTGGGGAGAGGGTCCATGGGGAGCCCTGACAGGTCTGGGCCCCATCCAGCCCCAGCAGGACCTAGGGAGCAGATTCCCAAGCCCAGATCCCTGGGGGATGCTGAGGCTGTTCCTGCGCTGTGGGGTCTGCGGCCGCTTCCCACCGAGGTGGGTGGGAGTCAGGGGTTGCACCCACTGCTCCGCCGTGGTGCTGGTGCAGGGGCTGCAGAGCAGGGAGGGGGCTTGGCGCGATGGGCAGAGCCGAGCTGCAGGCAGGGCAGGGGCTGCCTGATGGAGTGGAGGCACGTGTGGGAAGAGCTGACGGAGCTGGTATTTTTTGGGATTTCCAGAACAGGCTGGAGGAGTGAATCTGAAAGCGAGAGGCATCGGCTGCGCTGGGGCAGCGGATGCAGCATCCCCATACCCTGCCTATAGGACCTGCTCCCTGCTTTCTTCCCAGGCTGGAAGCAGAGGGGGCTGGAGCTCCGGTGAGGATGCTGGAGTGGGAACGGGGAATACAGGATCAGTTCCACCCCGCTGCAGGAGGTGACCCTTCCCCAGCGCCCCACTGTCCTGTCCCCTATGCCCCATCCCCATCCCACTCCCGCCCCAGGAGCTGCGCGGTCCCTCTGTGCCGAGCTCCGGCTCCTCGGCCCCTACTGGGTAGCGGCAGCTGGTGCCGCGAGGAGTGGATGTGTCACTCGCTTTCTTCTTGGCAGGGAACAAACGGTGATAGAAAAGCCCTGGCTGTGCCTGGCCTCCCACTGCCTCCGCTCCGGTGCTGCCGGCTGCTGCCGCCTGCACCCCAGCCCGGGAAGGGGGCAGCGGGAAGAGGTGGGATGTGGGGAAGCTGGTTGTGGGGGAGCGATGTCTCGGCCAGGCTGGGGAGCAGCTCTGTCCCCAGGGCCGCGAGAGGGATCCTGCTCTCCTGGCTGGACAGCGAAGCCGTGGTCAGGCCGAGACACCACAGCCCCAAAGGCTTTCGGTTCCTCCGTCTCCTGCTGTCACGAGCTGCTGGGGGGGGGGAACGACATGTACACAGCAGACAAGGGGGGGATCTTCCCATCCTTGTGCTTGGGAGCGGGTTGTGTGGCCAGGGACAACGGCCGTCACGAGGCAGCTGGGATGAGGGCTGCTGCACTCGCCAGGGCACCCATCGCAGGAGGCTGGCGAGGTGCTGAGCACATGCAGCAGAGCCGGGCAGAGCGCAGGCAGCCGGGTTGAGACGTGCCCTCTGTGCCCACCTGGGTGCCCACACTTGCCTTTGGCATCGCGGTTGGTGCCGCAGAGCTGGGCTGTGTCGGTGCCATGTGTGTGGCAGTGGCACAGTGAGCGGGATGCTCTGCCCTGTCACCGGGGATGCTCCTTGCTCCCGTGGGTGCCACATCCTCCTGCCTGCGCTGCTGCTGGTATCACCTTGTGCTCGGAGGCCTGCCTGCCTGCACTGCTGCTGCCTGCACTGCTGCTGCCTGCATTGCTGCTGCTTCCTGCGCCTCACAGAGCATTCAGTGAGGTATCCCCAGGGTTGAAGCCCTCCTGTATAAGGGGCTGCGTGGGATCAGCAGCTTTTCCCTGCTGGTCCCCAAGTAGGGGTGAGAAGCCCAATGCACTGCCCCAGGCACCGGCTCCCCTTCCCAGGGCTGGGAGGATGGGGGCTGCGGGGAGGGTGCTGGGTGTTCACCCGCCTGCCCTGCGGTGGGTGCAGCGGGAGGCAGGTCCCGGAGCTGGGTGCAGCGGTCCCCCCGCCCGTGTTTCCTTTCCGGATGGATTTCCTGTTTTCGGCTCTGGGCCCGGTGCGGAGCCGCCCGGTGGTGTGTGTGTGTGTGTGTGTGTGTGTGTGTGTGTGTGTGTGTGTGTGTGTGTGCTGGGGCGAGCAACGGGCCCCCGAGCTGCTGGGCAGGATGGAGCCATTTGCGGTGCTCACATCACCCCTCGAGGGTGATGGAGCTGCTGCTTGCGGGAAGAGTCTGGAGTCCTTTGCCATGGGGCTGGCCGATGCTGCGACCAGGATCCAGCTGGCTCTAACGTGGGGCCAAGGGCTAGGGCTGGTTTTCCCCTTCCCTTGGGATGTGTCCCGGGCATCCCTGGGGAGCTGCCTGGGTTCCTGCATGCCCCGTCCTGATTGCCCCTGGGCTGTGGACTGGGGCAGAGTCATATCCTTTGGGGTCAGGCATAGGGACGTGCTCACCCAGGCTGCCCACCCGCTCCTGTTTGAAGCTCTTGGGGTGCCGGAAGGGGACATCCCATCACCCTCAACCTGGACAGCTGGGCAGGACCTGCCCCTGCTGGAGACACCACCAGATTAGAGGTGACTCACCATAATCTTGAAGAAGTGGATTAAATCTCCTCCTACTGCGCTACTTAATGAAATCTATCCCATAATATGCTCCCAGCCCTGCTGTTCCCCCCCCCCCTTCCCCTACCCTCTCCAACCCCTTGGCAGCAGGGTCCCTTTCCCTGCTGAGCAGCAGGGTTGGCATGGGGGTACGCGCAGCAGCATCACCAGCTCTGTGGGATGGGGCCGTGGACCACACTTGTCCACAGCGAGTGGCACTGGTGGTGACTGGTGTCCTGCAGCGCTCCCCAGCAGACGCAGTGGGGGGCTTAGGAGGGGTCGCCAGGGCAGCAATGGGGGTGCATCACCAAGGGGCACCCCACACATCCTTGCACCTCACTGCTGTGGTGCCTGCAGCCGGTCCCTGGAGTGCAGGGGAAGGTGTGAGGGGCCATGGGGGGAGCCCCAGTGCAGGGATGGGGATGCTGTGGGCATGGGTGGCTCCTGCAGGCACCTGGTTTCCTCCGGCATCCCCAGGCCAGGGAGATGCCTGCGTGCGGCCGTGCCTCTGGGGGTGAGTGAGCAGTGGGGACGGATCCGGCTCAGGGCTGGGAGCAGGAAGGAAGGAAGGAAAGCAGAGTTAAAATAAACCAGGCAGTGAGCTATGGGGGAGGCCAGGGCTGGAGCCGGCTCCCAGCCTCCAGGGATTGGGTTGGATTGGGGCAGACTTGGGCTTCATGAGGCAATGGGGTGCCCTGGGGCACCCTGGGGTGCTGTGCTGTGCATTGGGGCTAGGCTGGGGAGAGCGTGGTGGGGCGCGCACTGCCTGCCCCATCCCTGACGGCTCTGTCCCCTTCTCCCACCGTGGCAGGATGGGTCCCGGCAGCGGCCGCCGCAGAAGAAGAAGACGGTGTCCTTCAGCACCATGCCCAACGACCGCAAGATCAACAGCACGGCCGCCTGCATCTCCTTCATGCTGGAGGGCTGCGAGCTGAAGAAGGTGCGCTCCAACTCGCGCATGTACAGCCGCTTCTTTGTGCTGGATGCTGACATGCGCTCCGTGCGCTGGGAGCCCTCCAAGAAGGACTCGGAGAAGGCCAAGATCGAGATCAAGTCGGTCAAAGAGGTGCGCGTGGGCAAGAAGACGCCTGTCCTGCGCAGCAATGGCCTCTCCGACCAGTTCCCGGACGAGTGCGCCTTCTCCATCATCTATGGAGACAACTACGAGTCCCTGGACCTGGTGGCCAGCTCGGCTGATGTGGTGAGCGCCTGGGTGATGGGGCTCCGGTACCTGGTGTCCTATGGGAAGCACACCCCCGAGGCGCCCGGGACCGGCCACCCCAGCCTCCGGACGTCTTGGATCTCGTCCGTCTTCGACCTCGCCGACCTGGAGAAGTCCGGCCGCATCCCCGTAGCCCGCGCCGTGCAGCTGATCAAGGCGCTCAACCCCGGCATGAAGACCTCCACCATCGAGCTGAAGTTCAAGGAGCTGCAGAAGGCCAGCGAGCGTGCCGGTGCCGAGGTGCCCTGCGACCTCTTCGTGGAGGCGTACTGCGAGCTCTGCACCCGCCCCGAGATCTTCTTCCTGCTGGTGCAGTTCTCCAGCAACAAGGAGTACCTGGGTCTGAAGGACCTGCTCATGTTCCTGGAGGTGGAGCAAGGCATGGAGGGAGTGACGGAGGAGAAGTGCTTGGAGATCGTTGGCAAGTACGAGCCCTCCAAGGAGGGCCGGGAGAAGGGCTACCTGGCCATCGATGGCTTCACACGCTACCTGCTCTCCGCCGACTGCTCCATCTTCGACCCGCAGCACCGCAAGGTGTGCCAGGACATGGCCCAGCCCCTCTCCCACTACTACATCAGCTCTGCCCACAGCGCCTGCCTGCTGGAGGACAACTTCTGGGGCCGCTCAGACATCAGCGGCTACATCAGCGCCCTGGGCTTGGGCTGCCGCAGCATCGAGCTGGTGCTGTGGGACGGCGCCGAGGGCGAGCCCGTGGTCTACACCAGCCCCTCGGCCACCTCCTGCGTGCCCTTCCGCGCCGTGGTGGGGCTGATCGACCAGCACGCCTTCACCGCCTCTGCCTACCCGCTCATCCTCTGCCTGGTGGTGCGGTGCTCAGCGCCCCAGCAGCGCCTGGCCGCGCAGTGCCTGCGCAAGACGCTGGGCGAGAAGCTGTACCTGGAGCCCCCCAACCCCGCTGCCTCCTACCTGCCCTCGCCGGAGCAGCTCAAGGGCCGCATCCTCATCAAGGGCAAGAAGCTGCCTCCCGTCTGCGAGGACAGCGAAGGGGAGGTGTCGGACGAGGAGGAAGGCCGGGAGCTGGCGCGGCGGCTGGGCCAGGAGGAGCGGGAGGTGCCGGACACGGCTGGCCCCCGGCGCCTGCGCCTCAGCCGCGAGCTCTCGGAGCTGGTGAGCCTGTGCCAGGCCGTCCCCTTCCAGGACTTCGAGAGCTCGCGGCGCGGGCAGCGGTACTGGGAGATGTGCTCCTTCAGCGAGGTGGAGGCGGGACGCTTCGCCAACGAGTGCCCGGCCGAGCTGGTGAGCTACAACAAACGGTTCCTGTCCCGCGTCTACCCCAGCCCCATGCGCATCGACGCCAGCAACATGAACCCGCAGGACTTCTGGAAGTGCGGCTGCCAGATGGTGGCCATGAACTACCAGACGCCGGGGCTCATGATGGACCTGAACGCGGGCTGGTTCCGGCAGAACGGCGCCTGCGGCTACGTCCTGCGCCCCGCCATCATGCGGGAGGAGGTCTCCTACTTCAGTGCCAATGCCAAGGACTCCTTGCCCGGGGTGCCCGCGCAGCTCCTCCACCTCAAGGTCATCAGCGGGCAGAACCTGCCCAAGCCCAAGGGCTCGGGGGCCAAGGGGGAGGTGGTGGAGCCCTACGTCTGCGCTGAGATCCACGGCATCCCGGCCGACTGCGCCGAGCACCGCACCAAGACGGCCCTGCAGAGCGGGGACAACCCCATCTTTGACGAGAGCCTGGAGTTCCAGATCAACCTGCCCGAGCTGGCTGTCCTGCGCTTCGTCGTGCTGGATGATGACTACATCGGGGATGAGTTCATCGCCCAGTACACCATCCCCTTCGAGTGCCTGCAGCCCGGCTACCGCCACGTCCCGCTCCAGTCCCTCGCGGGGGAGCCTCTGCCCCACGCCACCCTCTTCGTGCACGTGGCCATCACCGACCGCCGCGGCGGGGGCAAGGGGCACCGGCGGGGGCTGTCGGGGCGCCGGGGCCGCCGGGTGCGGGAGTACACGTCCACCAAGGCCACCGGCATCAAGGCCATCGACGAGGTCTTCCGGACGGCGACGCAGCCGCTGCGGGAGGCCACCGACCTGCGGGAGAACGTGCAGGTATGGACCACGCAGGGGCACTGGGGACCTAGGGGAGGATGGGGCTGGCCTGTGAGCAGTGGGGAGCATCCCCTTCTTCCTGGGGGAGTCAGGTGAGGGGCCTCATCTGGAGCAGAGAGCCAGGAGAATGGGGACATTCCCTCCCTGGCAGAGCCCCTGACGCTGGTCTCTACCCGCAGAATGCCCTGGTCTCCTTCAAGGAGCTGTGTGGTCTGACGCCTGCCGCCAACATGAAGCAGTGCATCCTGACGGTGGCCGCGTGGCTGCTGCACAGTGACAGCTCGCCCAGTGTCACCCTCAACCTGGCAGAGAAGTACCCCCCCATGGAGGCCCAGGGCCCCATCCCGGACCTGCTGCGCAAGGTCCTCACCGCCTACGAGACGGTAAGTGCCGTGTCTCACCGGGGCTCGACTCCTTATGGGGATGCTCCGCAGGGCCAGGGGCACCAGGACAACCAGGACAGGGCACCCTGACTCCCTGCACCCATCGCGGTGCACAGGGAGGCTGCTGGGGGCTGCCCATGGAGGACCCTTGTCAAGGAGCAGGTTGACCCAGCTCAGTCTGAGCCCTGGGACCCAGCAGCCCCCGTCCCCTGCACTGTGTGCCAGGGCTGCTCATGGGGAGTCCTGCGGTCCTGCCTGGTGGGAGAAACCCCATTAACAGCCAGAGCAGCTTCCTTCCTTTGTGTTGGAGGGGCCCTGCTCCAGCCCAGGGCCAGCCAGGCAGGGTCACCCTGTGCACAGCTGGGTGAGGAGAGCCAGACCCCAAGCACCCCACTGAGGCAAGGGGCAGCCCCTGCCCGAGCCCCTTCTCCCCACCCGCTCTGCCCAGCTCCTCACAGCACCCCTCTCCCCAGATGATCCAGACCAGCCGGACGCTGATCGAGTCGGCCGATGCGGTGTACAGCAAGCTCATCCAGGCACAGCAGGCAGGTGGGTCCCGGGGCACCTCTAACCCTGGTGCTGCTCCGTGCCACAGACCTGGGCGCATCCCAGAGGGGGTCCCTGCAGGGCTCGGTTCAGTGGGTCCGGCACCAAGATCTGGACCTGGGCACAGGCATGGGAGAGGGATTCCTGGCTCTGGTGGTCCTGAGCCTGCCTCTGGTGTGGTTGTGGGAGCCTGCGCGGTGCTGGGTGCCATCGGGGTGCTTGGGGCCACGCCGGGGCAGGGTGCTGAGTGGGTGGGCTGCAGGGGCTGTGCGGGAGGGAGCGGGGAGAGGGAGGCGAGCGGAGGAGGCTGATGAGGAAGCGGGGAAGAGTCATTATCTGCCAACCGCCGCAATATAATTAGCACCAGAAAGAACAGACCGGGGCTGATGGCAGGAGCGGCAACCGAGTGCTAGGACTCCCAAAACACGTGGCTGAACCCACACAGGCAGGTGCCGCCGCTGCCTGCCCCGGCTCCCCCCGGCCTGCCCGGGCCCCCCAAGCCGGTCCCAGCCTTGCTGCCGGCAGCTCTGGTTGTTCCCTGCCAGAAACCATCCCGAGCTCTTGGCTTTGGGCTCTGCCGCCGCTGCCAGCGCTGGGGGGAAGCAGTCGGAGGGCGGGGGGGGGCACGGTCTGGGTGCGCGGCCGGGTGGGCTCCTGTGGCGATGGGGGTGTCGTGGGGCAGGGAGCGCTTTGGGGGCTGCAGCCTCATCCCCGTGCCCAGGCGCTGCCTGCCCCCCCTTGCACCCCTGCAGTGCCCGGTGCCGGGTGCGGTGCGGTGCGGGAGGGGGGGGGTGAGTGACAGCCCGTGGGTGAACGGGCTGCGTGGGAGCCTCGCGTGGGCCCGGAGCCGGTGCTGCGTCAGGACGGTGAATGCGGCACCGCTCACGGGGACGTCACGCGGAGCACGGCGGGGGCAGCCCCGCACCGAGCCCCCCGGGGGGGAGCCGCGGCGTGGAGGGGCCGGAACCCAGAACCAAACGGGGCTGGGACCGAGCGCGGTGCCGAGGGGATGGCTCCGGCAGCCGTGGGAGCGGGCTCCGGCTGCAGGACGATGGGGAGCCGCCGTCCTGCATCCCTGAGCCGGGAGAAGGGAGTCCCCGTCCCCGCTCAGCACCGCTCCCGTGTGCGCAGGAATGGACTTCCACAAGGAGCTGCACCGCATCGAGGCCAAGGAGGGGCTGCGGGGCCGCAAGCTGCAGAAGGCGCTGGAGAGCTTCGCTTGGAACATCACAGTGCTGAAGGTGAGGGGCCAGGGCTGCGCGGCCCCCGCCCGGCTCACCCGAACCCCGAGGATGCTCCGGGAGCGATGGCGATGGCACGGACCCGCTCGGGGGGTCCAGGCGGCCCCGCTCATAGGGGGTGGCTGATGGAGCACCCCACGCTCCGCAGCAGGGGGTCCGGGGAGCCCGAGTGGGGCAGCCCCGATGACGGCGTCTCCCCGGCAGGGCCAGGCTGACCTCCTCAAGCACGCCAAGGCCGAGGCGCTGGACAACCTGTGGCAGATCCACAACGCGGGACAGTCCTGCGGCATCGGCAGGAACGGCTCGGCCTCACCGGAGCCCTCCCGGCTGCGCGCCCCGTTGGAGCCCATCCCGGAGACAGAAGGAGGCGGTGAAGCGGCGTCCTGCTGACCCCGGCCTGGGGCTCGGGGGCCCGGACTGAGCACTCCCTGGCTGCAGGGACAAGGACCAGGGAGCCCCATCCTGCCCGTAGACAGGCAGCTGCGTGCCTGCAGGCTCCGTGAGCGAAGGGACGCGTGTGGGGCTGTGCTCTGCCGTGCCGAAGGGCTGCGGTGGGGCCAAGGGGGAGGCTGGGGACGGATGAGCCTGCTCCAGCTCTCTCCCTGGCCTGAGCTCCCGGGGCCTCCATCCGCTTCCAGAGCGAGTGCCCTGCCGCAGGGCCGGCGGGGATGCTGGCACCCCTGTGTGTGTGGACCCCCAGTCTGCCGTGCCAGACCCCTCTTGTGTTACAGCCCGGGGCTGGGCTTCTGCCCCCTCCAGGGCCATGGGGTTTGCCTTCACCACCCCAAAGATGGGTCCAGGCAGGAGTTGTGGCTTCTGGCATCAGGGAAACATCAGGGCTTATTCCCTAGGGAGAGGGGGTCCTGGCACAAGCACTGTGCAGGGGGTGGTCTGGGGTCGGACTGGGGCTGTGGAGCATTATAAAGAGTGTGAGACCCACCAAGGTGCCCTGCTGCTCCCTCTGGGTGCCTGGTGCAGGGCTGAGGTGGGATGCGGTTACTGAGGGGGATGAAGGGTGGCACCATTGCTCCCCATCACCAGCCATGCTCGGAGTGACGACTCCCCACGTCAAGGAGCCATGCGGCTGCTCGGCACCCATTTGTTCAGGAAGCTAATTAGCCTAATGGGGACCCAGGGAACAGACCCTTGTGCTGCTGCTGTCAGGAGCAGCCCAGCGCTGCCCTTCGGCCCCTTTGTGCCTGCCCGGCCATGGGGCCCATGGGCAATTATGGCCTCATTAGTGCCAGGCGTCCCGGCAGCGCCATGGCCCCTGAGCACCCGCACAATGAGGAGCTGCAAATGAGGGGAAAGGCCTGGCCGGTCTCCGGGCTACAGGCCCGTGTCTCCCAGAGACCGGCCGCAGCCGCCTGGCCCCGCCGGTATTTTTGGCATCACTATTGTGCCGGGGCCTATAAAGCGGCAGCTGTGGCGGTGGCACAGGGTGCTGTGCTCCCGGCTGCCCAGCGGGACATGCCCAAGCGCTGCTCGGCCGCCTGAAGACCCCAGAAAGGATGGAGGTGCCCAACACCAAGGTGGGGTGGGGTGTTGCAGCCCATGGGACCAGGAGGGCAGCGATGGGGGAGAGGTTGGGATGTGGGGCTGGGGGTGTGAGGGGGCCTGGGCAATTCCTCGGGAAGCTGGGAGCTCAAGGCTCCTCGCCAGGGCTCCCCAGCTGTGGCCAGTGGCCACTTGAGGGGCTCAGCCCTGCTTGGGCTCCTCAGGAGGGAGCTGGACGCGTGGTGCCTGTGGTGCCAAGTGTGGGTGCTCTGGCACTCGGCAGCAAGGGGAGGGTGTTGGCTGCGGCTGCCTTGTGCTGGTGAGGGCACCCACATCAGGCTGCTGGTCACAGTGTGGTTGGGGTCCATGGGTGCTGGGGATGGGGGGGGGATTGTGCTGCCGTGCACTGGGAGTGGGGTTGGGACCCTGCAGCAGCGCTGCAGTGACCAGGGCAGACAGGGCTGACACCGGTGGGCACGGCACGCTGCCCGGTGGTGCTGCTGCTGCCCTGCACTAACGCTGCCCATCGCTCCAGCAGCTCCAGAGAGCTGCCTGCCTCTTGCTCCTGCTCCTGCTCTGCTCCCTGGCTGCTGCCCGGCAGAGTCTGCCCGAGTGCTGCCGGCAGAAGACCTGCTCCTGCCACATCTATGACCTCCTGCACGGCATGGGCAACCACGCCGCCGGCATCCTCACGCTGGGCAAGAGGAAGAGTGGCCCCCCGGCATTCCAGAGCCGGCTCTACCGCCTGCTGCACAGCTCCGGCAACCACGCCGCGGGCATCCTCACCATGGGCAAGCGTGGGGAGCGCCCTGGCACCACCTGCCACGACGCATCGGGCTGCCCCATGGGTGCAGGCACTGACACCAGCCCCGCCAGCCCCAGGGACCAGTGCCAGGGACACTCGGGGAAGGACCTGACCAAGAGCCAAGCCCAGAGAGCTGCTAAGAGCTTTTATTGAGAGGGGTGGGGGCAGCAGGAACAGAGTGAGGACCCATAGGGGGGCATCCCTGGGACACACACCTGGAGCTCGGTGTAAATAGCACTTTGACATACCTCCTCCTGGCCTGGCCCAGCCTGCTCAGGGCGCTGCAGGCACCGCCGGCCTTTTACAATAAATGATAGCCCGATGTTACCTGGCTCTGCCTTCTCTCTGGGGAGGGTTACGTGGGGCTGGGTCCCAGCAGGGCCAGAACTGGAGTGAACAGAGCCAGGACCCGGCTGGCTGGGAGCTGAGGGGTGTTTGTGAAGCCCCTATAAGGGCTCAGAGCATCCCCATCACAGCACCAGGGAGCCTCGTGGGCACCCGCGCTTGGTCCCCACCACCCCGGCCCTGCGCAGGGGCCTGGGGAGGCTCCGGCTGGGTCCTGTCACCCCCGGCTGCCCCTCAGGGCACGGCCTTGCCCTGCAGCCCCCGGGCTCGGCCGTAAGCAGCGGGGGTGATGCTGGTGCCTCCGGTCCTGCCCCTTTCGCAGCCTCCGTGGGCCCGGCGGGACCGGCGCCTCCCGGTGCCTCCCGGTGCTGCGGCGCAGGTCAGAGCCACCTGCCCGCGGGCGGGTGCCGGTGCCGAGGCCCCTCCCGGTGCCGGCGGCGCGCAGAGCCCGGGGCGGGGCGGGGGCGGAGCGGGAGCCCCGGGCCGGGCCGAGCCGAGATCAACCCGCGGAGCCGGGACCGCACCTGCGGAGGGGTCCGGGGGCGGCAGCGGAACCCGATCCAGCGGCCGCAGCCCCGCGGGACCATGCCGGTGATGAAGGGGCTGCTGGCGCCGCAGAACACGTTCCTGGACACCATCGCCACCCGCTTCGATGGCACACGTAGGGCCGGGGAGGCGCGGAGCGGGCGGGGGGAGAAGGCGCTGCCCCCGGGGAGGGACGGGGCTCGGGGGGTCGCGGCCGGCCCTGCGCTCTGCACTGTCCCGGGGAGCCCGTGTCCATTGCTCCGGTACCCCCCGGTGTCCGTGCTCCGTGCTCTGGGCCCCCTGCATCCGTGCTCTGTGCTTCGGGACCCCCCCGGTGTCCGTGCTCGGTGCTCCATGCCCCCTGCATCCGTGCTCGGTGCTTCCGTACCCCGGTGTCCGTGCTCGGTGCTCCGGGCCCCCTGCATCCGTGCTCTGTGCTTCGGGACCCCCGCGGTGTCCGTGCTCTGTGCTTCGGGACCCCACCGGTGTCCGTGCTCGGTGCTCCGGGACCCGCCGCACCTCGGGCAGTCCCCGGTGCTCTCCTCGCTGCCGGTCCCGTGGCCGCGCTCAGCACCAGGGACAGAGGCCGGGCTCGACGGGAGGGACCGTACGGGACCCCGGGGCGGGGTGGGGGGGGGGGTCCCCGGCGTGGTCGTTGCTGGTCCCGGCCCACCCCGACTGCCCCGGACCCCCCCTGAACCCCGCTTTGCTGTGGGGTTCGTGGGTTCTGGCTGACCCCGCGGGGACCGGGAGTCGGGGTTCTGCCCCCTGGCTTCCCGGAGCTGTAGGGCTGCCATGGGGCACAGCCCGTGGCTGTCACCTCTGCGACACATGGCGGGGTCCTGGGGGACCCCCAGTGCTGCACAGGCCGCCACCCCATTAGCAACGCACCCGCTGGTTTGGGGTTATGTCCCTGGAAAGGTGGGTGCCAGGGGGCTGTGTTTTTGGGGGGACATCATCCCTTTCGGGGTCACTTCGCACGGCTGGAGGTGCTGTTGGTGCACCCCCAGAGCTGGGCTCCCCTCTGCATCCATGTCCATGTGCTGTGGCCAGGATGGATTAAACCCCTGGCATGCTGTGGAGGGGATCATGCCGGCGTGCCACGTGCCAGCTCCCGGCACCGCTGTCACCATGCAGTCACCCGGGGACAGGCCATGTTCAGGCCTGACCCCAGGCTTTCCCCGTATCTCTTGGAGCAGGGGTATCCTGGACCAACCGCCTGCAGGGCTGGACATGTCCCACCTCGCTGGGAGGGACCAGTATGAGCGTGGTACCGGAGCCTGTATTCCCCTCCCACAGCATCGGGGCTGCAGGAGCAGCCCTGGGACATGTTTTGCCTGGCTCCCGGCCCGGAGTGATGTGGAGCATCCCAGACGACACAGCCTGCCATTTGCCTTTAGGAGCTCTCATTTGGGATGTTCCCTTTGAGACTGCAATGAGAGGCAGCAGCCCCTGAACCTTCCCCAGCTGTGCCCAGAGGTGCCAGGGTAGAGCCACATCTGCCTTGTGCTGGTGATGCTGTGAGTGTATCTCCGCAGGGCTGAGGCTTCCCAGGGCTGGATCTGTCTCTCTGAGGAGCAGGGTCCCCAGGGGAGCTGCCTGCAGCACCCCAACCAATGCAAAGCCCTGGGAATCTGCCCCGGGGAGATGGGATTTGCCCCCGGCAGCATCCCCATCTGGCTGCCACCTTCCAGGCACTTTTAAATAGCGTCAGGCTTTGCTGGTTTGATGTGACTCTTATCGGCTTTATCTGCCATGGAGAGGGGCTTTAGCCAGTGATACCCGGGTGAGTTAACCCTGCCTCTCCCAGGCCCGCTGGGCCTGAGGGTACCCATCTGTGTGAGCTGGTCACTGTGAGAGGGGGGCTGCTGAGCCCCCCAGTGCCGCATCCCCCTGCTAGGCAGAGCCGCTCCCAAATGCAAGCCCTTTTTTTCCTTTTCTAATAACACATCCTGGACAACGCCGTAATCCTGGTTCCCCAGAGCCAAAATCTGGCCTTAGTCACAGCTTCAAGCTATTTTTGCTTCCCCAAGCTAATCCTGGGCTGAGCTGTGCTGTGGTGGCCCCCCTGCACCCCCGTGGCATCAGGGCTGCCTGCGGCTGCATCCACCCCTTCCGCAGCCTCCTCTGCCCCTGCCCTGCCATATGCATGCCGTGCACTTCCAGGGGCTCTCTCCTTCACTGTGAGAGGGGTCAGACCACGTCTGCCTGCTCCTGGTGCCTGCGCTGTGGGGATGCTGGTGCCTGCAGGGATGCTGGTGCCTGCAGGGATGCTGGGCTGAGGACCCATGAGCTGGGGACTGTACTGGGTCTGGAGACACCCTGGTGTGCCATTGCTGGGTGCAGGTGTAGTCCATGCCGGCCATACACCCCGCTTCCCTGGCACCCTTTTAGCATGAGGCCACCTTCCCTTGCGGGCCAAGGTCACCCAGCATGGGCCATGGACTCACCCCAGGTTCTGGGTTTCTCTGCCCCACTCTTGGTGGGCTGGAGGTCACAGCACCACAGCCCAGTGCCCCAGGGCTGCCAGTGCCCAGCTGGGTTTGCCACGGCTCCTGCTAAGCTGCCGGAGCCCTGGAGGGAGGTGGGAGCAGCAGATGGTGAGGGGGAGGCAGGAATCGCCTGGCAATGGGAGCCGGGAGCTGGATCTGGGCTCCAGGACCCCAGTGCATGGGGCTGGGGCAGACTTCAGAGGCCACAAGGCAGGGAGCAAGCGAGCTCCGGGTGCAGCCAGCAGCCAGCCACAGACCTGGCTCCACTTCCCAGAGGGCCCCATGGGGGTCCGAGAGGCCTGAGCTGCCCTTTGCGCCCCCAGGGTGGCCACGGGCCCTCAGGGGCAGCTGCTTCTCCTTGCAGACAGCAACTTCATCCTGGCCAACGCGCAGGTCCGCTGCGGCTTCCCCATCGTCTACTGCTCCGACGGCTTCTGCGACCTCACCGGCTTCGCCCGCACCGAGGTCATGCAGAAGAACTGCAGCTGCCGGTTCCTCTACGGGGCCGAGACCAGCGAGCCCGTGCTGCAGCGCATCGAGAAGGTGCTGGACGGCAGGCAGGAGTACCAGACCGAGGTCTGCTTCTACAAGAAGGGTGGTGAGTGGTGCACGGCACTGGGACCCTGCCCGCGGCTCCCGATGGACGTGTCCCCAGGGTGAAGCCGCTGAGGGGCAGAGGGGATGTCCTGCCTTCAGCACCCCTCTTGTCCACGCAGGAGCTGCCTTCTGGTGCCTGCTGGACATCATGCCCATCAAGAACGAGAAGGGGGAGGTGGTGCTCTTCCTCTTCTCCTTCAAGGACATCACCGAGAGCCGGGGCAGGAGCCACGGGGGGGACAAGAAGGAGGGTGAGCCGTGGATGGGATGTGAGCAGTGGGCAAGCGACAAAGGGGCTCCCAATTCCCTGCTGGGTCCTGCCTGCCTCTGGTCAGCCGTGCAGGGAGGGGACCCAAAGCAGCCCCTGCCCTGCTGCACCAGCAGTGCCGCAGCCACTAAACCCAGCGTGTCTTGTGTGCTGCAGACAAGCAGAGGAGCAAGAGGCCCGGCAGCTCTCACCTGCGGGCAGCACGCAGGCAGGGCCGGACCGTGCTGCACCGGCTCAGCAGCCAGTTTGCCCGGAGGGACCGCAGCGAGATGAAAATCAACCGTGTAAGGACCTGGGGGAAGCCCTCCGCTTCACGCGGTGCCTCCGGGGCAGGCTGGTGATGCTGCAGCATCCCTGGGACCAGCCTGTTCCCATGCGTGCCCCTCGCCGGCCTCCCCAGCACCCAGATGCCGACCACGTCCAGCAGCCACCCCCGCTCCAGGCTGCAAATGGGGTTCGTTGGCATCGGCTGGGAGGGGAGCGCGGAGCCTGCGGCAGTTCCCGCAGGGCCCTGCCTCTCCTCACACGGTTGCTGTCGGGAAGCGCAGCCGCTCGCTCACAGCGCGGCCCCGGGGGGGGGGGGGCACCGTTACCAGGCTGCGGGGCCCCAGTGCGGGGCTCCCGCTGTCCCCAGCGGCACCGTGTCCCTGTGGGACACGGGGGGGGGGGGTTGCCCCAGCATCTGAATTGGCACCTGGGATGCTCTGGGCAGCAGCTGGCAGTGCTGGTGGATTATTGTTAATAGCATTAGCCTCACGCTCCTGTATACACCATAACCGGGTGTTCTGTGCCCATCTTTGAGGGTGACCTCAGAGCAGCCCATGTGCACCGCTGGAGAGCTGTGTCCATCACCCTGGCGTCAGGAAGGGGGGGACACCGCGGTGACCTCTACTCCTTGTGCACCACCATGTGCCACCCTGCCCCTTGCTCCCCCAGAACATGTTTGAGAACAAGCTGTCCATCCCCGAGTACAAAGTGGCCGCAGTGCAGAAGTCTCGCTTCATCCTGCTCCACTACAGCATCTTCAAGGCTCTCTGGGACTGGCTGATCCTGCTGGCCACCTTCTACGTGGCCATCACCGTGCCCTACAATGTCTGCTT